AAGCTTCTTTACAGCATCAAGTCTAATTTTTTAGAAGAAGCATTTCAATATGTAAATGTGGAAGCTGCAGATCTCTTAAAATTTGTACTTAGAAGTTACATAATCTCCTCCTCCACCTCTTCTAATATGGATGCTCTTCCATTCTGTTTGTCAAATCAAGTCAAAGACAGTTCAACTTTGAATAAGAGGGAACACTACTAGTCATTGGTGAGACAATTACAAGATGACACTGCAGGATAGCATTTGGGATGGGAGATATTATGACCTGAAGTGATTGGCTTGCTTGCTTGCTTGATTGATTGATAAGTCATTTTATTTGTTTGCAGCCTGCCTATCCTGGACCACTACTTTGATTCCCAGGGGTTTCCTTTCTTTGGCCATGCCGGAAAACATCGTGAATTCCACCAAGTCCTTGGTGTATAGTGTTGAAGTTCAAGTCAGAGAAAAGGAATTCAAGTTCTGTACTTATCATGCTGCTGTTATCTCTTGGCTTACTTCTTAATCTCTTGCAATGTGCATAACTAGCTTTTTTAATCTTTATAACCCAAGGCTTTAGAATGGGTAGTCTCACTTTACAGAGAAAAAGTTAAATAATCCATCCCAAACCAAACAAGTAACAAGTGGTAATATTAGGCATTCAAACTCACAATGAAGTCCAAAACTCACGATCCAAAGGAATATGAACAATTCTTTTCCTTTCAGCCATCCATGATCTTAGTTAATGTGGATATTCTTCCACACAGTCAAATCTTAAATATATGAACTGGGAGTTGGGCATATATATTTTGGGTTCTAACCTTAAATTTACTAAGTGTGTATGTGAATGTGTGTGTGTGTGTGTGTGTGTGTGTGTGTGTGTGTGCTTTTGCACACAAGTTATGTAGCCTTGTGGAACTTCAGGGATAAGGCATTCTAAAGTGAGATATATAATATTATAGATTGCAGGTTTATTTTGTAATCTAAATGCAATCAAGCAAACAACCAGTTTCTATCATTAAATAAATTTCCTATATATACTTAGTTAGTTGATCATATAAAATTTCTGTTTTTAGAGAACAAAAACAATATTGAGTACTGACAAAGGTCAGATTATATTAGCAATTTCATATGATCGATCCCCAATATTATAAATATATAATGGATTTTTCTTGGTGTTCGTGTTTGCTTTTATTAGCAGTATCTCAAAAATAATTAAAGGAGAATAATCATGATTTATAATAATAAAAAATGAAATTTAAACATTCCATTTATAATACCATCAAAATAATAATATACATAGGGACAAATTTAAATAAATAAATAGAAAAATTATTACACTGAAAACTACAAATATTACTGAAAAATATAAGATCTGAAGGCTTACTATTGTTAAGAAGGTGATGCACCCAAACTGATCTGTAGAGTCAACACACCATTCTTATCAAAAAATCTAGGAGACTGTTTTTTTTTCCCGAAACTGACAAGCTGATTTTAAATTTCATGTAGAAATGAAAGGGATCTCAGGATAGGCAAAACAATCTTTAAAAAGAAAACTGATGTAGGACTACTCATATTCTCAATTTCAAAACTATTTCAAAGTTGCAAGAATCAACACAGCACACTACTGGCTTAAGGATGAACATGTAGTTCAGTGGAGCAGAGTTTATAGTCCAGAAACCACCCCTACCCCATCCCACTGTATTTATAGTCACTTGAATTTTGATCCGGATGCCAGGGCAATTCAATTCAATGTTCTTTACAATGCATGACTCTGGGATAGCTGGAGGGCTATGTGCAAAACTGATGTTGGATCCCTTTCCTTATACCACATGCAAAAATTAATTAACAATGCACTATAGGTCTAAATGGCAGAACTAAAACTACAAGAGTCTTAGGAGAAAATAGAAGAGCACATGTTTATAATCCTGGGCTTGGTGAAATCTTTTTAACTATGACACCAAAATCACATATGACAAAAAAAGTACATAAATCAACCGGATTCATAAAAATATAAAAAGTGTAATATTTCAAAGGATAACATAAAGAAAGTGAAAATGCTTCCCAAAGAATAAGATAAAATATTTGTTATATAACTAAAAAGAGACTTACGTCTATCATATATAAAGAACTTTTACAACTGAATAATAACAGAATAGGCTTATTAAAATACGGACAAAGATCTGAATAGACATCTCGCCAAAGAAGGTATTTGAATAACCATTAAACACACAATATGTTCCTCTATATCATTAGAGGATATATATTATAAAAATTATGTATACCAAAACCATAACTAGTTACCACTCCCCCTTCAATACACTGTTTATTTTGCTTGCAAAATAAACAGATAATGATATGTTGGCAAGAATGCACACATTGTTGGCAGAAATAAAAAAAGGCTCACCTGTATAGAAAACAGTTTAGCAGCCCTTCAGACTCTTAAACCATAGTTACTGAATGCTTCAGCAAATCTGTTCTTGGGTTCATATATGCCAGAAAAATGAAAATATTTGACTTCACAAAACTTGTTTACAAATATTCAAAACATATTTTGTTTATAAAAATAATGCTTACAAACAAAAAGTCCCCATGAACTGATGAAGAGATAAACGAAATATATTTATCTTCACTCTAGAACATTATTCAGTCATAAAAAGGAATGAAGAGATGTCAAATCATGTATGAACCTTGAAAACATTTGTGTTAAATGTAAGATGCCAGTCACAAAAGACCACCTGCTGTATGATTCTATTAGTGAGGGAGGAACATGCAGAATTTTCCAGTCTGTACATACGGGCTGTAAATTAGTGGTTGTCCAGAGAAGGGGGTTGGGAAATATAGGCAATAACTGCTAATGGGTACAGGGTTTCTTTTTAGGGTAATGATAATGCTCTAAAAGTAGATTGTTGAACAACTCTGTGGATCTGCTAAAAGCCATGGATTTTTCACACTTTAAATGGGTGAATTATATGGTATATGAATTATATGTCAATAAAGCTGTCAAAAACACAAATACACAATGTAGATCATTATGTGTCAAGCACTCTTCTAAAGTCTTTAAAGACAGAGACTTATTTAGTCTCCACTGCACCCTATTACACATTGATATTTTAATTTTCTCTTTAAATGCAAAGAGAAAGGATGAGAGAGACTAGATACGCCCAAGGTTATCGGAGTTAGGGTGAGGCTGAAATTGCAATCTCAACAAACCTGGGCAGAATCTCCATGCTTCGTGCCTATGCTATGGCACCTCTTAACAATTCCCAAACACATGCAATCCCTGTGCCTCGCCCTTCCCCCTCTCCAGTTCTGCTCTCATCCCATTTTGTCCTGTCAAAGGATTTGCACTGAACAATTTAATTCGTGAATGTCAATGTTCTTCTGAAAACTTGTCAAAAGTACACATGGGCATATCTCCACCCCCAGCTCCAAGTGACTGTAAAACTCATGTGTCCTTTAGAGAATTTTATAGACTTTTCTATTTCTCCTTAGGGTTCCAGAAAGTACGCCGGAATGGGAGGAGGAGGGGACAAAGCCGGGTGGTTAGAAAGGACAGGAATCCACATCACGTAACCCATGACAGGAATCGTGACTCCAGAGTGATTTAACTAGTTACTTCATTTCTCTGCATCTCAGCCCCTAGTCTTTAAAGCAGCATGAAGACAATGTCTGCTTAAGGGTGCGACAGCATTGCTGTGGAGATTAGCAGAGGCAGAGTTCCCAGTGTCTGTGTGTCCCAGGCTCCACCAACAAGAGTCGCCTCCTGACGCCCTGAGAGCTCTCCAGTGCCTCACCTCTCCCTGCAAGGTTTGCAGAGTGGACAGGCGGATGAAAGTCCTCCTCCAGCTCAGAAAGCTCTTTCCTTCGAGTCCAGGAAGCTCTATTCTTTCCAAATGGCCAACTTAAATCAGATGGAAAACCCGGGGCAAAAACATGCTCTGACAGGGAACAGTGCCTGACACCAGTTGGCCTGGTCTCCCGGCTTCTCCAGAGAGCTCAGAGCCGCTAAGATGTTCCCACCCCCGGCCAGAACCCATGATTTAATTTGACTTTATAGTTCCAAGCATTGCCTTGTTGTGGTTTCCCTATATCATAGACGGAGCTGTCCTGTCCCCTGTGGAGAGGGAAGAGGGAAGCAGTCAGGATGAACCTGTGCTGACCCTGTAGTCAGTCCCAAAGACTGCTGCCCACTCCTTGGGGGGTCACATCTGCACAAAATCCCAGGCACAAGGGCCAGAGAAGGGACATTGGTTGAATAGAGGAGGCTTTGTGCTATTGGGGAAGGAGTCTGAGCTCTAGCATTTTGACTCCAGGACCTTATCATGCAGCCTCTGTCAAGCCTCCAGACTGAGCCTCCATTACCCACATGTAACACGGAGATGATAATCTATGTGTCCCGGCACTGATGTAAGAATTTGGGAACCGACGACTGATACAGAGCAGGTTCTTCGATCGGGGTTCTTAAAGGTCTGCTAAGAAACAGAAGCAGATGAGTAGCATGCACAGTATGATCTCATCTTCATCACTGTGGGTTGATAAGAGAGAGGGAGCAGAACAAAGGTATTTCTTCTCTCTTTGTCGGACAAGAAATCCTTGAACATTTCTTGATAGGTCTTGTTCATTCTACCCTTAGATCTAGAATCCTAGAATGTAAATTATAGAAGGAAAAGATGATTTGACCCTCCTTACTTACTTAATAGCTAGGGAAACTAAGGTTCAGAGAGGGAAATGGACCTGCTGGTAAACACACAGCCTGATTTGATATACATGTTGTTTTCACTGCATCAGATTGTTTCTGGGAAATCATTTGAGGGAAATTCTCAGAGAGACATGATTTCAGTAAGGGCAATAAATGTCCAAGAAAAAAACTTTTTATTTGCCCAAAGGGAACAAAGCGTGAAGGTGGGGCACAGGCAGTCTGCCAAGACTTCCTGGACCACTCCTGGCTTTCAGTCTTTGACGGCAGTGCAGATCCATGTGTCCTGGAATATAAATGGCCTGAGGGCAGAATTTGAGCTCACGTCATCTTTGTGAACCACTTCCTTTCATGTAGCATCTGGAACACAGTACAATTTGAGAAGTGGTGGCCCGATGACCCTAGATTTCCAAATCTGAAAACCTACATGACTAGAGGAAATTCCAAATGCATTTGGAGTTTACCCACATTGAAAAAAAAAATTTGAAATCAATCATCAATCATTTACTCTTCTAAGAATTTATGAACACAGAGACCTAAGGATCCAACTTCAGTGATGGTGGCCATCAGCCATGAATCGTTCCCATGGACCAACCAGGCTGGTAAGACGTGAACTTTTCAGAGAGCTAGTATGTAGAGCCTAACCCTGCAAGATGCTGGTCCCAGTAAGTGAAATGAGTAGATGCTTCAGAAACAGAAATTAAGAATCAGAGATGCTTCAGCTGCCATCTGTCTCAGCTTCGGCTTCTATCCGGAACATAACGGGTGACACACTCTTGGTCACCGATAACCAAGAAAGGTATAGACTTGCTGACTCTTGGTCAACCTCATTGTGCATCTCATGTTGTGATTAATTCTCTAAAAAAAAGAATTAGAATCACAGTGACCTGGGTTTGGAATGAATTTGTAGCCATGAGAATGCCCGGAATATTGGCAACACCAAGATATGGTTGTTTCATTCCACCAAGTGAGGGGTGCATTATTGGAAAAGTAACTTAAGCTGAGTGAAGGTTACAGGAGCTAGAAATAGAAAATGCTCTGAGTTGGCCTCATGAACGATGGTTTTCTAATAGAAGGGGAAAGTGTTTGGCATTTATTGGGCATTTTTTAAGTACCAGCACTGAACTAAGTGTCTGACTCCTGTCTGTTGGACTGTAAAATCTTGGGTCAGACAAACCTCCGCAGAGTCAGGAACTGTGACTGTTGTCTTCACCACTGTGCCCCCAGTATGCCCGGCGCACGGTGGGTATCCCAAATGATCTGCCCTGATCGTAACGTGGGAGGTCATGCAATGGAAGACTGAATGGTCGTCTTTGAGTCGGGGTGGAGTGTGTCTGCGATGGTGGGGGAGGGGACCCGCAGGTGCTCTTCCAGACGACTTTACATTCTGTGGGATCTGCTGGCCTCTCCAGCTTCTCCCCACCCGTCTCCTTTTCATGTCCCATCTCCCGGGGCCCCTGGTTTTTTTCTCTGTTCTTCCAACTGGCCTGCTGGATCTTGTCATCCTCTGCTGTCCCTAGGCCCCCAACAACCTTCCTCTCTTACTTCGCGCGGCAAGTTTTTCTCATTTTTTTCTGGTTCCTGCTCAAATGACATTTCTTCAAATAAGCTAGGTATTCTGACAATCCAGAGCGATCCTTACTTGTGGCCAGGCCACAGGCTCATGCCACCCTTTTTATTTTTTTTGTCTGAAATGAACTCCTCCCCTTCCGTCTATGCCAGACCCCTATTAGGATGTCGGTTCTTGGAGAGCAGAACCTTTGCCTCTTTCTTCTTTCTTAGGTGCTGCTGCATTGCATATGGCGGGTGTTTGACAACGTCCGCTTAATGGACTAATGAGAGAAGACATTAACAAACGGTTGCCTGTTACCTCGTGAATGAAGTCCCAAAGCACGAAGCCTGATTCTTTTTGTCTAATGCATTGTGTCCCCACACAGACTTGGATCTGTGTGTGTTTTTTTTTTCTTCTTCTAATTTTAGCTTTTTCTTGAAGGATCAGCAATTTGCTCACCAAACATTTTTCTTCCCTTCCCTCCTGCTTTTGACCAGGGTCTCACATTCCAGGGTGGAACTCACCACGTCTCAGCGATGCTCAGTTCCTCCTAGAGTCCCCCTCATCCACCCACCACACTGCTCTAGTGTCCCTTCCCTACTTCTATCACGGCTTTTGTCCCACGATGGGATTGTGTTTTCCCACCATGTTCTTCTTGGAAACTGATGAGCCAACGGAAAGGGAAGTATAGTCTTATTTCTATCTGAATCTCAGCTGGATTAAGAAATTTGAATCTGAAATGGCTTTGGGTTGAACCAGGCTGGAAGGAAGGCGTGAATGAATGGATACGAATGAATAATTAATGGATTCACGAGGAAAGATGAAAGAGGTTGTGAAGGTCTGACCAAAGTTTTACTGTTCTGTGACGACTCTAGTGTGACCAATTGTTGTGGTGGTTTGCCTAGGACAGAGCATCCCAGAATGAGGAAATTATAGTGCTAAAACCGAGAAAACCCTGGACAAATGGAGGTACATGGGTTAACCTACCTATATCCATTTTTAAAATGAGATTAATAGTGACAATTTGAAGAGATTGGTACAGTGAACTTTTTAGGTTGGATCAGGTCTTCTGTGAAAGCTAACAGACAGGAGCTCAGAAATGCATAGCAGAGCAAGGCCAAAGTGCAGATGCAAGAGCTGAGAGCCAGGATAACCAACAGTGACATTTCCTCGGGTGAGAAAGAACTTTGAGGTGGCATGGTGGCATATGGAAAGAGCGCACGGTGAGCCAGGCAGGCTGGGATCTCATTGATGGCTTCTCACTAGCTGTTTGTACAATACCAGGCAAGTCACGTGCCTTCTTAGGTTCCTGCCAGTGAAGTACATTTTTCAGTGTTCAATGCAGGGTATACAGTATCTGACATGTAGTAGTCGCTCAATAAAGCCTGTTGCCCTTCAGAACCAGATTGTCTCCAGACCTATATTAGGATTACTACAGAGTAGGGTTAAGTGGTTACTACATTTTCCAACCATGAATGAGCAAGAAATCTGGTCTGATGAACAACTGGTTTTCTATATAATAAATATTGGATTATGTGTAAAGTCCAGTTTTGTGACTTTTAATAGTTCTTTGTCATAGTAGTGTGCCTGATGTGGTAAGGTTACAGAAAGATCCACAATTTCTCAAAAATGAAACCCAAAACACCAATATCCACATGAAACGCGTCATACCCCTTTGACTGAGCAATTCTATTTCTAGGAATTTATCCAAAAGAAATAACCAGAGAATGCATGTACAATGATGTTCATCTCAGCATTGTTTATTACAGTGAAATATTAGAAACATCTGAAGAGCTTGACAATAGAGATTTGGCTAAATTAATTACATTTCAGGCATTCAATTGAATACCAGGCAGACATCAAAAAATCGTGTTCCCTAGAAGTATTTAATGACTTGGAAACATGTTAAAGGCATATTGTTAAATGAAGACAGCAGATAACAAAACAATGTGTTCCATATGTTTCCAATTTTGTGAAATAAAAAAGTTTGAAGGAAACAATAATATTAAATGATACCAGAAGTAGTATCATTAATGGTTGAGAACATGGGCTGTGGAGTCTGAATTTCCGGGTTCCATCTGCAACTCTATGACTTTCTTGCTGTGTGATTCTAGAAATTACTTTACCTCTACCTCAGTTCCGTGATTGGAAAAATGAGAAAACATCTGTAACCACCTCATGGATTTTTTGGTGAAGATTTAATGAGTTTGTATGTGTGAAATGTTGAAGATTATCTCGGGTGGAGTGAATGTTATGGAGGTGTTGGGTATTATGTTTGCTTTTTAAAGTGAAGAAAAGAAATAACATTTTAGATGTTTCTAATATTTCATAAACTAAAATTTAAAAAATGAAAAGTTACAATCCTCTTCTATGCAAATACACTCAGCTATGAATTGCCTGGGCGAGGATTGAGCCCCTCTGACTCCAGAATTTGAGCACCTAACTATTATGTAATTCAGGAAATGTTAGCCATGGGTTTTCATAATTGTAAAATGAGAAGTAACTATTACTTTCTTCTCTGTGACTTTCTAGATTTTCCTAAATTTTAACAAGGTCAAAATTTCAAATTTTTGCTTTTATAACTAGAAAAATACACATTTACTTCAAGTTGTTTAAGTGAAACAAAGGGTGAGCTTGCTTCATGGGAAATGCTGCAATTAAGGTAATTTGTCCAATTTATAGTAACAGAAAACAGGTAACAGTACCCTGTAGAGGTTGGTGCAGAATTCCACAATCAGCAGGAATCCCAGAATCAGACAGAATTAAGTTTGAATCCTTCAGATGTCAGCTACATGTCCTTAGACAGATTCTTTAACTACTCAGAGTGTCAGCTTCTTATGAGAAAGAGAAGTATAATAGATCCTCATTGTGTCCCAAGAAGTTAGAATTCTATGCACAGAGGCAATCACTATTCCAGATGAATAGCAGGTGTTGAACCATTGGTGGCCACTAAGAAGATGATGGCATTTGTAACTGTCTCTTAGAACTACTGAATCACCCTACACTGGCATGAGATTGTGGTGTCCTGACTCCCAAGAAGTAACCTTAAATGGCAGCAATAAAATGCAAACCAATTATGAGTAGGTTGGACCAATGTCAGAAAGCCTTCTGTAACTTTTTTCCATAGTGGAAAGAAATTTTGACATTGTCTTTGCGTACCCGCTCCCTGCCCCAAAGATATACCAAAACGCAAAATGCAACAACCTTTTATAAGTTAAAAAGACATCAAGGATTAAACCCTGTCTGACTGTTGCTGCTTTGGAAATGGATTTGAATGCATTCCTTTCATCCAGATTGGATTACTCTTACTGTTATTCTGCAATTCTGCCAGCACTTTGTTTTATTATTATTATAACTAGAATTTGCTCTGGGTCCAGAACATGGCAGTAGGAATGAGCTCTGGCAATTCTGCAACTCAAGACGGTCCACCAGCTCCTAAATCTCAACAAGCATTCTGAATTTCAGCCGGAATTGATTGGAAAATTGGCCTTATAATACACAAGGGTTCAGATTGGAGATCAGTTAACACCAGACTTCTGGAAATGCAGGCTGCCCTCTTGAGCCAATGAGTGATGAGGTTATTCTCCTTGAAAACAGAGCTGAAAGTCGTTCCTTAGTTCCTCATTCTTAGTGATTTCAGACTTTGCATTCTGCTGAGAACGGCTCTGGCAGCAGGAGTACTCATTCTCACACAGGATTTACACAGAGAAACTTGTTTCTACCCAGCCTGTCGATTACAGACGGTCACACTGACCCCCAGGAAGGGGACAGAGTTTAA